CTCCATGCGTGCCCATCCCACAGCTGATGTGAAAAACATGGGGAAACAAATTAACCCTGTGCTCGCTGTTCAACCGCTGACATCGGTGTGAACCGGACCCAGCAGGTGCAGCAGAAGCAGCGAGTTTACATGCAAAGTCAATGGTTGACGCGCGTATAGGTGCAGCAAAAGGTCCCGCAGCGCGTTTTGAGCAGCAGGTGCAGCACGTCGGGAAGCGTTTAAGCATCTGACGCACCGCCAACGCGCTGCTGCTGCTCGAGATGAAAAAATTGAAGTTTTGCTGCTAGACGCGCCGCATCAACCAATCAGAGAAGCTGATCTGGGAGCTGACAGCGAGACAGACACATCGCTCTGATGACATATGATATTAAATGAAAAAGGCTGGATGGATGAGGAGATGATGAAAGCGTGGCTGTGCCCATCTCACAGCCGATGTGAAAAAAAGGTGAATCAAATGAACGCTGTGCTCGCCGTTATCCCGGGGGTCTGACAAAGGAACTTCAACCGCTCGACATCGGTGTGAAGCGGCCGTTCAAAGTAAGGCTGCATGCGGCGTGGGAGCGATGGATGACCGACGGAGACCACAGTTTCAGGATAAGTGGAAGGCAGCGCCGGGCAAGTTACGCCACCGTTTGCGGATGGATTGCAGCTGCTTGGACTAATGTGTCTGCTGGCTCTGTTGTTAAAGCTTTTGCAAAAGCCGGCATTATTTCTGAGGAGCCGCGCTGCACGGAAAGTGACTCTGACAGCGAAGAAGGGAAATTGGCATGTCTGATTTAGCGCAGCTGTTTAATTCAGAAACAGAGGATGATGACTTTGATGGGTTTGATTAATACTTTGTAATAAATACATGAATAAAGCACAATCATACTCAGTTTTGCTCCCGCTCTATTTTTCTACCTGAAAACTTAATTCAACAGCAGCCTCTGGGCCGGGTCTCCTCCTCTTCAGCACGGTGGCTGGCAGGTGTTTTTTCATCTAAATAATCTAAATCTTGCAGCTATATTTGCTGTGATCAGTGGGAATTAAGTAGTTTTATTATGTTTTTAAGTGAGAAAGGCCACCTGAAAACTTAATAATTGCAGTCAGTTCATCCAGATTATCTATTTCTGTCGGAGGCGCTCAGACTCCCACATACCAGCGGTGCACCGACAGTAGAAATCCCTTCATCAGCAGCCTCTAGGCTGGGCAGCCTCCGGGTTCACCGCGGTGGCTGGCAGGTGTTTTTCATCTAAATAATTTAAACTGCAGACACCAGGATACCGGTAATAAAAGCGAACATATTCCGTCGGCAGGTTTCAGGATTTTAAGTTAATTTAGGAGTAATCACAGCGCTGTGTCATCTGCGATGTGTCTGTCTCACGGCCAGCTGCCAGGTTTGATTAATACTTTGTTATAAATACATGAATAAAGCACAGTCATACTCAGTTTTGCACCCGCTGTATTTTTAAATACGCAGTAGAGGTATTTAAAGGTAGTAGAGGACATGTACCTGTATATAAAAAACGCGCCCTATAGGCCGGTGCGCCTTATGTGTGTGTTAAATACAGAAATGGCACACATAACTGAGAGTGCGCCTTTTAGTACGGTGCGCCTTATGGTCGCGAAAATACGGTAATATATATATATATATATATATATATATATATATATATATATATACACACACACACACACACACACACACACACACACACACACACACACACACACACACACACACACACACACACACACACACACACACACACACACACATATATACCGGTACATAGCTTCATGGTAACACGTGACGGGAAGAACTGATTTATTTCCCTGTTTAGGCTTCAAATAAAGAAAATATTAAACTAAACTTGCATAAAGAGACAATCGTATTTACCTAACGGTATAGTGTAGGATTTACTTTAAAAAAACAAATGCACATGCACAACCCTGTGCCTGCTCCCAAGAGGGAACGCCTTTTAAACGCCTTCAAAAGCGTGCATGTGTATGCTCTATGTTGAAGATTCTGTTTGCATTGCTCAAACAAACTTACTTTTTAAAAGATTTTCAATTTTTCCTCTATTTCAGACTCACCACAGCTAGGTTAAAATGGGGACAAGCACGTAGGACAGGCTTATGCAAACATATCACCAGAACGATTGATAATTAGGAGGACCACTTATTTTGATGATCCACCCGGAAAAAGAACAACCTCAACTATACCTTTAATTCAAACATCAACAAAAAGATAAGGATTTCCTCTCCCTCCTCGTGATATTAAATGTAGATATTTCATAAAAATACATAGAAAAGTTGTTTAAAGTAGCTTAAAACTGTTATATCAGTTCTATATCATTTTGAGCCCACTAAAGCCACTCTGGACCACCTGCAGAGCCTCCACTGAGACCTTTGGTTTATTGCTATGAAATGCATTGCAATGTGTAGTTTTAATATAACATGTGAAAAAAGTCAAGTTAATGAGTACTTTTCCAAGGCAGTTTGCTTTATCACATGCCTGCATAAATCAAGTCAACAACATTTTGTCAGGATTAGTAAATAAACATACCTGCATCCTTTTATAGGGTTTGTATCTCATCCTGGTGATGTGCTCCCACGCTCCAATACCTGCAAAATATAATTTTTACATCATAAAAAATACTATGATTAAAATCTGCTACTAAAAATATAAAATCTATAAAATCTACATGATTAAGCTAAAATTTGATGCCAACACTCTCTAACCCCTGCTTAAACTTTACAACAATCATAAAACTTTCTTTTGCTACACCATAAAGAAGTGGAGATGTAGAACATATTTTATTTATCTTCAAAATGACTGCATGGTGTTTGTTCGTAAGAAGCCAGAAGGATAGTGGTTCCATAAACAAGTTATTGGTTAACCTTTTACATTTTGCGTAAATGCCAGTGGAGGACATGGACGTCAATGTTTCACATTTAAACAGTGTTTTGCATTTATTCTTCCACAGTGTGCTGCTGTGTTTATTTTAAATATTGTAGTGATATCTTGCAGCCCAAAATGATTTGATTCCAACTACTCTAAGAAACTAAGAAATAAGAGAAGATCCTTTAAGTTTGGGCAGTAGGTGTCATGGGGTTCCCACATCACGACAATTTTTGGTAGAAAGATCAACTTTTTTACTTTAGCATAGATTTCATAAATATTTATAACAGATGTATAACATAATCAAATTTGTATTAGTTATTTAGGTATTCTTTTTCACACGTGCTCATCCTGCAGCTAAAATATTCTACTAACTTCCAGATATAGTATAGAAGGAGGTTTTATTGTAACACATGGCGTGCAGCAGAGGAACTATACATCCCTTAATCCCTTAAAATGACTTGTGATGCTCCAGAATGAGTTAGAGAGCCCAGTAAGGAGAAAGATGTGTGGATATCCCTGCAGCACCTGCTGCTTTAAAGCAGAATCAGGGCTATTATCATAAGGTTATGAGATAATAACCTAATTTGAGCCTACAGTCAGTTGTAGAACCAACACAGACGTCACACATAACATTCCAAATCAGGTTTAGTGGTCAGTGGTGTTCCTGCAGTTCATGACCTTGACTTTACCTCTTAATAATGACTGAAAAAAGTTTCACACAGCTATATTTGTCTTTGTTGTGCAAGTAATGCTCTTTTTTTCTGCTCAGTTGGAGGAACTAAAACTGTATGTGTTGTATAATGAAAAACACTTTTGTCAGAAACTTTAACTTTTTACACTGTGTTTACATTTGTCTTGTTAAGCAGCCTATGGCTGTTTAAAATAAATGAAAATGACTATTTGAACAGCAATCTACACAAAACTGAAATTATGCCATTTTTGTTAAACTTTTATAAGAGTGAAGATAGAAGACAACCAAAGTATCAAGTCCTAAATAGATTTAAATCCTTGAATCTCACTTTCCCTGACTTTAACCTTCACAAAGATCTTCTACAGCGTTTGGAAAAACCCTTTGGCTGTCTTGACACTGATCCCTGCTTAACCTGAGGAACAGAATGTCTGATCCCTAACTTACCATGTGAGGCCATTTAAAGGCCACAAAAAAAAAATTAGAATTCTGGTGGAACAAAAAATTATAATAAATTTACAAATGAGTCAAACAACATATAAAACGTCAGATTAGGCTGAATCCTTGGTGTCAAACTGTCATCTTACCGCTGAGGAGGGTTGCTGATCCTGGACTGATGGAGCTGACTCTGGTGCTGTAGGTGTCAGGCAGTCTGTCCATAACTTTCTTGTGGCCTGCTTCAAGGAGCAAGATCTTCTTCTCTGACAAGTTGGGATCCATGCCTAGGAGGATTATCAAATACAGTATATATATAAATGAATAAATATGCATACACTGCATTAAAATGACAGCCTGCACATATGCTTAACCCTCAGCTGCTGCAGCAGGATGTGTGATTATAATATTTTGCAAATATATGTTTGAAACTTTTTTAGTTATAGGGATATGATACCCTTTAATTAGTCTTTCTTAAAGCATCTTTTAAAAGGCAAATATTCCAAATTAGTACCATAACAATTCAAACTCACCTAGAGAGCAAGCCATTGCAGATCCAACCATCCCTCCCCCGGATATAATCACATCATATACCTCGGTTTTGTTAGAATCTCTCGTATTTTCCGAACATACCAGTCCTCTCCTGATTATATTTACACCAGATAAGTGCTTCTCTGTTATGAAACATCGACCCAGTCCGTTTAGGGCCAGTGGCGCCTTTGTGAGCTTGTGCATTATTCTGTATTCAGTCTATTTTACACATTAAACGAAATCAAACAGTTCAGCTCTGGAGTCTAAAAGCCGTCATATACAAAGCACAGAGAAAGTGTCCCCTTGAATGTGTCCTAATAAAGGCAGCTGCGTCCTCTGTTTAATCCAGCCATGTTGTGTTGACAAGCAGGCGCTCCAGCAAAACTACTTCCGGGTTTCCCGCCAATCAAAATGAACGTTGCTTACGTTTCCTGCGACTTACGTTCCGGGGCGTCTCTCCGCACACAACGCTCATGCTTTCCAAACATGCGTTTGGTTTGCTTGTAGCAAGTTAAAAATAGCTTTATTTCATAACCTAACCGATAGACAGTTGTAGAATACCTTCATGAAGTTATAATACGCCCGCGACAGCGATAAAGTACTTCCAGGTTGGTAGCTCATTGCTAGTTTTTGAGTTTTTATTTTACCCGTTTATGATGCATTGGAGCGCCTAATTTTTTTTGTGTGTGTAAATAACAAAGGAACGTAAATTTGCTGGCGTAGCCTGAAATATGTGTCCCACTTTACTGAGAGCGCTGATGCGTTGTTGCCATGGTAGCATAAACAGAAATAGCGCCGCGCGCTGGACTTTTTGAGAGTTGGCTTTGAATAATTGACACATGCAACTTATATGAATTAACATATTATATTTGATCAGAGCTTCTGGGAAGAAAACATAACCAAAACAATTTACCAATATCAAGTAAATATCAATTAATATATCAAATGAGAAAAAAATAGATTATATCTCTTTTAAAAGTAGATGCTCTCAACTCTTTGTTTTGTAACCAAAAACGTATTTTACTGGGTTGATAGTGATAGCACGTGCTATAGCACTTTATTTTTTTGGCCAAAAAGTAATATTTAAATCGTATCTAATCAGAGCACCTTCTCTAATGTTTATCACATCCTGACAAAATGAAAGGTGTTGGTTTCTTCCAGTAATACCTTCTTGCCCTTATACCAATAAGCTGAAGGGAATAAGCCTTTCTCTCTTTTTTTAGATGTTTGATTTCTAGCTACTCCAAAAATATAATTTTTTTATTAATTGCACCATCCTTCAAACACATTTGATTCTTACCTGTCTGGTGGCTCCTTTGTAAAAAGGGTATGTTATTTATAGAAAGATTTTATTGACTAATTTGTCATCTTCGAAAGGCATTTGGTTGAGATTAGTAGTAATTACAAATCATGAAACTGATGTTTACATTTCCTAATTATGTAGACCAGCGATGTTTTCCAGGCCAAGGACCCCCAAACTAATAGCGAGATGGAGCAGGGACCCCCTAATTATATATATTGTAGAACGTGTGTTAATGAATATGTTCTATCAAACTGGTCCTATAGTCAGTCTATTACAGATGGAGTAATGTAACGAAAGCAATTTCGCCCGGGGACTATTAAAGTATTTCTGATTCTGATTCCTGGTTGATGGGACAGGTGTTGTGAATGAAACGGTGCCCGGCTTGAAAGAGCTCCTGTGATGCATTGAAGACAAAGACATCTTCTACCTCCATTTATCTGTTTACTACAGTGTGTTCAATTCATGTTAATGTGGATTTAAAGCCATTTCAATTAGTGGAAAAAATTGCAGGGGGGGAATGTAAAACAAAGTCTAATCAATCAAAACTTTCACGACCCCCATACAGTACCTCCGTGGACCCCCTGTTGAAGACCTCTGATAAAGATCATTAGTTTTTTATACTATAATTGTATTAATGCAAACCTTTTTATACATTCATACAGACTGGTTGGCACATCGGTGTTATGCCCACAAGATTCCTCCAAATGTTGGTAGACAGGAGCTGGAATCAAACCCATAACTTTCTGATTACATGATGGCTACTCGTTAAACTGAGCTGCAGTCACGCTTACAAGTTTACATTCTGCTCAAACAAACCTCAAGCTTTTCAGAATCTATCGTTAAAAATACCGTAATGCTTCCGTTCTTTCCCTTTACCATCTTTTTAATCTATCTATTAATCTATTAATCTATTAATCTATTAAATACAATCCCAATAAAACACTTTGATGTTTTAATATTGAAGAAGGGGGAAATTGTGTACAGGGCATGAATACTTTCAAAAATTTAACGCCATCAAAGTTCGATGATCGCCTTGAGTTAAAAGTCAAATCTGACAGTTTAAGGTATGAGCGAATGATAGCTGCGCATCCCTGCTTATTGCCAGTCTATGTATTTTTATATTCCTTAACATTTTCATTAAATCTCTATATTTTCAGTTATTCAACTTTTATTACTTTGTTTTCTTTTTGGTTTCTTTTTCAGGACAAAAATGTCAGTATGTGACAATTTGCTAGAGGAAAGACTTCGATCCGAGCTGGTGCTTAAGGCTAACCTAAAGACATTGAGAAAGACCCTTGAGCAGCAGCTGCAGGAGATGAAGAGGAGACAGACAGAGGAGCTCGATAAAAGGATTCATTGGAACACTCTGTTATTAACAGATACAAATCTAAATGATGACATCGAAAGGTAAGTGTATGTGAAACACACTTGGTTATTTTGTTGAAAATGATAGTTTAAGGAATAAATAATGTTTTATTTCTAATGTCTTTCAGATTTGCAGGAAGGAGGTCCACCCTTGTGTCTGCTCTGAAGTCAGAAAAGGAGGCCTCCCTCCATGGAAAACAGAGGCCTAATATGTCTTCTATCTCTGTGCTACCTTCATCAAATCCCAAGCACTGTTATGTCAGCACTCAGCAGTGTGAAAGGTGCTATTTATCTAAAACAACACAACAGAAGAGAGATGAGGAGGCTGAGTCCGAATGCAAGAAGAAGTTCAGCGCTGCTCCCGTCCCCACCTGTGTCATTCAGCCCATCTACCAGGAGATGATGGAGCTCAGAGAGAAAGAGAGGAAAGAGGGCCATGAGCAGAGAAAGGAGTTCCTGCTCTCCATTCAGAAACCTTTTAGCTTTGAGCAGAGGGACAAGAAAACAAGGGAGAAGGTGCCAGCAATATTAAACCAGGTTTCTGAGGATCCAAAAAACAGCATTAGTGTTAAGAAAACTTCTCATAAAATTATTAAGGATTCAAGACAGCAGAAAGGTGGGTTTTTCTTTATTTTCCTGTCATAATTTGGTTTTCTGACACATACTGTTAAACAATGAGAAAAGACATGAAAACATCCTCAGCATGAATATTAAAAATTCTATATTCTAATGTGTCAAATCTAAAGAGACCATGCAAACATGATCTCTGGTTACATTAAGCTTTTTTTTTGTTGTTGAAAAGATCCACCCGAAGATATATACTGCCAGTAAAATAAATAGAAATTTCCAAAAGTAAAAATAAATACATATTATAAACATGAAAATCCTGATTGTCCCTCGGATAACCGTTTATGTAACTTTACAATTACAAAATATTGTTTTTACAAAATGTTCTGCAGTAAATCCACATTTTTCTTTCATTTCTCCCTGATACCCTCTGTACGGAAGAGGATTAGGGCCACTGAAAAAAAATTAAAATAACTGATTTTTTAATTTTATTTCAGTTTAATATGGGAAAAAAGTCAGAATTTTTCTCAGAATTCTGACTTTAATCTCAGATTGAGATTAAAGTCAGAATTCTGAGGAAAAAAGTCAGAATTCTGAGATAAAAGTCAGAATTCTGAGTTTAAAGTCAGAATTCTAAGAAAAAAGACAAAATTCTGAGATTAAAGTCAGAATTCTGACTTTTTCCCCCATGTTAAACTGAAATTAAATTTCAAAATCAGTGAACTTTTTTTTTTCAGTGGCCCTAATCCTCTTCTGTATCTTTGTGACTTTTTGCCTTTTGTAGATTTTAACATGGGTTAATATCAGGTGAGGGCTGGTCTAATAGGAATACATGTTTATTAATGGAAACTTCAAATGCCTAAGCCTACAAATGTTGCATTTACCTACAACTCTGCTTTTATAAATATTACCAGAACTGATGTCGATGACAATATCTCCAATATACCATGCGGCCCTAGTTCTCATCTCAAACTCAACACTGTTTTAAAATAACTGTAAGCAAGTTACTACCAATTTATCTGACAAGCAGCCAGGTACTCGAGCAGATTTTAGCGAAAATACCCATCATATTTTTACTAGGGGTGCACCTATTCTCACCGATTCCTGATCTTCAAAAATCCTGACATGCCAATCCCGATTTTTATCGATACAGATTTCTTTTTAATAACCGATACTGTCAGTTGTTGTAAGATCACAAAACCCCTTAAATATTTTAATTTATTTAATATATTAATCAATAGTCATGAAAAGATAAAATAAATCTGAAATTACCGCTGTCAAATATAAACAGAAGTATAGAGCATTGATTTTCAGAGCTTTGCACAGGTAGATAAGATCTGTGGGAAAGGTCAGTTTCACATCTGTTATCAACCTGATCTCACAAAATTAAGGAAATCGAGGCTCATAAATCGGCCGGCGGATCAATCGGTGCACCCAAATATTTACTGCAGATTTTTTTGTTCTCCAGAACACAGACAGTCTCAGGTCCAGTAACTGGCTGCGGTTTAAGGTACCCTGTGTGCGTACAGAGTCAGGAAAAATGACTATCTTGTTTTGGCTCATGGTCTTGGAATGACCTGCAGCTCAAGCCGAAGTTTCTTATTACTTTTTCTAGTTTCCAGCAAAAACTGTCAGACAGGTTAAACACTTCTTAAACCTGTAACATTTGGTCAAAGGAGGATTTTTTTTAAATATTCTATTGTGTTTTATGTTTTATTTCTTTAAGCTTTAGTTTAAATTATTTAACATTACTGTTTTATGGATAATGTTGATGTTAATATAATACCTTGTTTTCACCTTGTACCTTTTGGTTTTTTACTTCCTGGCCAGGACTTCTTGTAAAAGAGATTCCATATCTCAATGGATTTCTTTCCTGGTAAAATAAAAGGTTAAAAAAAATAGAAATAAAATTACTAAACAAGGAGCCAACATTGAATTGCTATATTTCTGTCATTTAAAAAAGTTGATAAAAATAATAATAGAGATGGCATACTATTATAGCAGCAATATAAATAATAAGTGCTTGTCTTTTGTTTTTTAATACCATAATTAGATAATGTTTTACATTTTTATTCAAACATTTTGTGTAATTAAGGAGATAAACCTAAAAAAATAAATAGAAATATAAGTTATTATAAGAGGAAGGATTCCTGTAGTGGCAGGTAACAACAAATTCAGTTTTCTCTTTGGTATTTTATGCACAGTTTTCTACTCAGACTTTGTGTTTTATGCTAAGAATAACAAAATAATTTGTGCAGGACCTCTAATTTACATTTTGTTGAGACATGCAGGTGATGGTGCTTAAATCTCTGTACAGGCCAGCTGGATATTCCCAGAAACATCCAGGAACGAATATTGTCCAAGCAACAGAATCAGACTCAGGCTGGAAGCTGCCTGAAACTTCACAGCGCTGATCACAGCAGAAAAAAAAAGCTGGGTTTCTTGGATGAGAAGCCGACCTTCAAGCCAAAAATCATCCCTCAAGTCCCAGATTTTAAAAGGCTGCACAAGGCGCTGCCAAAGGAAGCACTGGAGAAAAAGCAGGGTCAGGAAGCGACAAAGTGTCAGCCCTTCTTCCTGAGGACATCAGCTCTACCTGCAAGGAAACACATGAAGAGTTCTGAGACATCAAAGGTAAAATGCATTTAAGAAAACAATCCTTTTTTTGACAATGAGAATTAATTTAATAATTTAGATTCATTTTTTTAAAGAATATTATAGAGTGCTTGCTTTAGGCGAATTAAAACAAAATAAATAATATTTTAAAATATGACATCAAACATTGTTTAAAGTCATTTATTTCAGCCTTGAAAGTAGAAAAAAAAAAACTTGTCTTGTAAGGTTTATGTTTAAGAAGAACCAGAAAAGCAAAGGGCTTCTGGACCTTCAAAACACACCAGATGGTTCCATCTTATAGTTTTGCGCCACTTATTTTTTCAATTCTCACACCTTCTCTGCTTGATGGATAGTTTGAAACCAATCCACCCACTATGTTTTCAAGCCATAGCATTTTTCTTTGCATAATAAGTTTGCGACATTCTAGATGATTCCTACCTCCAATTTACTAAATATGGGCTCATGTTTTTCATGAAATTTAATCCTCTTTTTTATTTATTTTGGAAGCAAAAAGTTAAATGCCTAAAAATGAATGAAAAGTTTTAGTTTCTTTAGTTTTTGTTGAATGTTGAGGCGATTCAATCTAAACCCCCCTTACTTATGGGGTTAAAATTAAGCCAAATATATATTTAATTAAAAAAAAGAAGATTTTTGGTTCAAGTGAGTAATACATTTAGACAAAATATGTAGCCATTACTCACTGTCTTTGACATGACAATATTAGACTGTGGAGATATAGAATGTCTTAGCGATTTCCACAAGCTGAAAAATTAGGATGATGACTGCTAGACAGATTTCATTTAACTATAATGTCAATAAAAAACTGCCTTTTATGCCCAATCATTGTGTATTTAGCTGGAGATTTAGTGAAATTCAGCTTTTAGGGGATATGATCATATTAGCACTTTACAAAAATGAGCAAAATTGCACGAAGTGATTAAAATTGAATTGTTGCGATGCACGCCTTTTTACATATTGTGGTTTAATTTTATGATCACTGAGCAATACTGCCTGCTTAGCAAATCCTAGATAAAAACACTAACGTTCTTGCTTAATTTCTTTAAGTAAATTTGTCTTGATTTAACCTAAAAAATCAGTTTAAAAAATATAGAAAACTTACTATAGGCACAGAGGGTATGTTTATAAATACAAAAACCCTTTTTTCCCTTTAAATTCCATCATGGTAACACAGGAATATGTAGTTTTGCTTACAATAGATTATTTTCAAATTTCTGGAAATATTTTTTTGTATTTTTGCATTTGTTTTCTTTTTAATTATTGCTGGAAATGTCTTTCTTGTATGTGTTACTCCAAAGGTGATTAGTTATCATCCTTAAATATTAAGCTAATAGTTTAAGAAACAAATAACTCGGGAAATAAAAACAACAAAGTTATATGCTCTGAGTTCACTGATGCGATAACGATCATTAGTTTTCAACCAGATGGTCTCAGATCCTGGCTGTTTCCAGGTACCAGTAAAGGTTTCCTTCTTACTTTACTTGTGCAGGTATCTAAAATGAATAATCTCAGTAGGAGCAAGTCGCTTGGAGCCCTAACACTGATATCTGCAGACACTCTACCCACGTATATCACAGATGCTGCGAGGCAGCGCTGTGCAGCCATCAGGTGAGATCTATGGACTGGGTTCTTACACAGTTTTATTAACATTTTTTCCTTACTTATTCAAACACAAATTGCTATATTTTTATTGCATTTCGGACACTTGACTTAAATTATGCTCCTTTAAGCTAAAGAGAATAATTATTAGGTGTTATTACTACACATTTCTTATCAACGTTGAAACCTCTATTTTTTCCAACTGGACAAAACTAAATCAGCTTTATTGTGAAATGGGACTCTTGGTCTTAAGAAGACTTTCTTATTCTCCATTTGTTATTTGGTTGAGGAATAAGAAAATCTAGGAAAAAAGCTGTTTTAGTTCTTGCTCTGACATTTAAAGTAGACCCAGTTTTAAAACAATAACTCTGCCTGTACCACTTTTATTCAAACCAAAAATACTCAAATTAGAAACTGTGTCCTTTAGAAAATGTAAGAAATATATAAAATTAGAATCTTGTTGTCCATGATTAAACCAAATTTTAGGCTTTCCAGAGTTTTCATGACTCTGTAGTAAAGCTGTGTTAGCCAGTACATCTGTTATCTAGTAGCTAAAAAGAGGAATAAATGATATCTTATTTATTCTTCTTTATCAATTTAGAAAATCAATAGAGATGAAGGAAAGTAAAAATCAAGAGAGTACAGAGTGGTTAAAGAGCTACCAGATGAGATCCCAAGCAATGAAGAAGACTGTCGTTCTTCATGCAAAGTTGCTGGATCCCCACAGCAGCCTGAAAGACGTATGTAATGAAAATCTACAGCGCCATCGGTGAGTTCTGCAGCTATCAACTTCTGCATCAAACATTACAGCTGCCATGCTTCCCTGGAGCAGAATTTCAAACTTGTATCTTTTCTCACTTGAAGGGAAGCTGATCGACAAAGAATGAGAGATTATATAAGAGAATTACAAGACATGAAAGCCCGAGTTAGTGAGAGACCTTATTTGTTTGAACAAGTGAAACAGGTAAGTTTCTTACACTTTAAAACAAAGTAAAAATGATGTGCTTGCTCTGTATTGTAAAAATATTTTTGTTATGGCAGAAAAATGCAAAGGTCCATGCAGAGCAGACATACAAAGGAAAGCTGCAGAAAGCCGGTATAAAAGAGCAGTTTGTTGAAGAAACTGGAAAATCGTTCATACTAGATGATGCTGACACCGATACAGTTAGCCACGGTTCTGAAGAGGAAACCCAAAACAGGTACAGAGATTTTCCTGCAAGCTTTGTTTCTGCTTTGTGAAGTTCAACTGCATCCGGTAAAAATATGAATAACACCGCTGCCTGAGAGCCAAGGACTTTATGTGGTTTGGTCATATTATATTACATAATTTTCTGAGCTCTCCCTGCAGTCGGCAAAGAACAGAGAAAAAGCACCAGAGCCAAGTAAAAGTTCGACGTAATTACAATATAGGCATTTTCTAACCCAAAATGTCTGATTTAGGGAGGAAAATGTAGACGACGGGGAGAAAATTGAAGATGTGGATGAGAAGAGCGTGAAGTCCAAAGGGGAAGAAATGCCATGATGAAAAAGCTTCAGGAAGAGCTGAGTTTTTGTGGTGTCCCAAGTTGAAAAGAACACTGTCTTTAAAAAATGATCTGTGTCACAGTGAACACCGAAGACCTGATTGTTTATGATGCACACCTATAAATTATGAAAATAAAAGTCATGGGGACTTGACACTCCAATCGTTTAAACTGAATATAAATTAAATTTTATTCTACTTTATATGTTATTGAATAACTACTATTTTACAAACATGATTTTTTGATGTTAACACATAGATTAACTGTTTTCTTAGTTCTTTTTTAGGCTTATTTGTTTTATAAAATGACCTAACATAAATATTTGGTCTTTGCTGATCAACCGATTTACTACATTGAAAGTTTAATCCAATTAATTCAGTATAAAGGTCAAATAAACTTAAAAAAACAAACACCTTTCTGGAAGACTCTGCTACCAGCAGATTTATTGGTGACACATCATTCTGTCAGTATTGGGTAGAAAAGGAGCATCTTCTGGGACAGATTTACTATCAAGTGTAATTTAGCATCTGGTTGCAAATCATAAATAGCGCCTGTGGGAGTGCCTATTTCAAAACTGAAGTGATCTGCAAACAAAAACATCAACAGGCCAGTTCAGAAGTGACCAAAGCCAGCTAACAGCAAGGGTAAGAAATAGCACAACACCACAAAAAACAGACCTATTTATAATCAGAAGTCGACAAATACAACAAAGCAGCTTAAATGTGGTTGAAAAATCAAACTTGTTGCTATGTCAAAATAAAGATGTACCTAACTGCATCCTGTTCTATCCAGAGTATCTGTAAACACCGTCAGTGCTAGTGAGAAATGTATATAAGTTCACTGTGTGCATGCATAGAAACATTTGCTGGTACTCTTGTTTATTGAAAGAAAGATTCCTATAACTGTCACTGAGACTTTAGCTCCTCTCAGCAGGTATATAGTTTCCCTTCTCATGAGCCAATTGCTGTGGTTGTCTCAGGTTTGAAGGCTGCCTTTTCCTGATGACCTTTTTCAGCTCTTTCCAAAGATGCTCAATGGATTAAAGTCAAGGCTCATAGAAGGCCACTTTAGAATAGTCCTCTTAGCCATTCTTGGCGGGTTTTATTTGTCTGTTTTGGGTCAACTTCCTGTTGCAAGCCCATGACCTGTGACTGAGACCAAGCTACATGCTTCACACCAGGGACAATGTTCTTTCCTTGATATGCTTCCTTTTCTGTCCCTTGGCAAAATGTTCCATCTTTTCTCATCGGCCCATAGGATGTTCTCTGAGTAGCTTTGTGTATAAGGAAGCTTATCTTCCTTATACAAACTCCACATTTAAGCAATACTTATTAATTTCAATAAGCCTGAGGTCTGGGCCAGTCCTAAAGATTGACTTTAGCTTTTCCAAAACTCTGCTTGGAATCATTATCCTGTTAGAACCCCCGCTGTTGAATCAAGTTGAAGTTTTTTTTTTAAATAATTGAACTTTATTGTTCTCATATTGGAGAAATTTATCTTTGCATTTTACACATCCACTTGGGGAGCACTGGGCTTCCACTGTGTGGCGCCTGGGTAGCAGTGTGGGGTTAAGGGTCTTGCTCAGTGACCCAGAGTGGAGGCTGTGGTGAAAGAATCGGGTACTTGCAACCTTTTCAGAGCATAAGCACAGTGCTCTAACCACTAGACAAACACTCCCCCCACCTGAAGATTGGGGAATGTTAAATAATTTTGAGGTGGTTCTCCAGCTGTATTAATACACATACTTAAAAAAATGCACCTAAACTCAAAGCAGACACATTACATCATATTACCACCACCATGCTTGACTGTTGGTGATCTCTGCTTGGCTATATCAAGCATATTTTTGTCATTAGCTAAATCCTGGTTAACTTCAAACATAAAATGTTTCTCAAGAAATAATTTTGTTCATCTGTGTCAATGCAAGTCTTACGTGAATTTTAAAGTGTGCATTCCAGGGTAGGGGCTTCTGTTTCAATTAGCCCCCTCTCTGTTTGTGTTAATATTAATCCTGTTACACTGAGGAACCATAATAGAGTGAATGAAATGCTGATACAGTGGCTGTTCCTAAGGAACTAATTTCCAAGTTCATGCAGATAGTTTTGGTTGGATTGTTGAAACTTTTTCTTTGTTGGGTGTTCACCAGAATAATGATAGCACATGTGATAACATTATTTTATGACATGGCCCTAATCTCAGCCCTACTGCACTGCAAAAATGATCTAGAAATAAGTAAAAAATTCTTAAATTAAGTGCATTTACCCTTTATTTGAGTGGGTAAATGCGACGATTTGCCAATGAAATTAGTATCTTTGCTTTTAAAATAAGATAATTCGATAATATGAACTTGAAATAAGACAATGCAGTTGTTTTTTTCTTATTTTAGTCTTTCATATAAAGTGTCTCACTTTCGTCCTCAATTGGAGAAAAAAAATGCACTTATTTTAAGTAAAAATTACCTAATTAGATTTCCATTTTCTGCAGTGAGAATTTTTGACTACAAAAACTGTCTTTTTTCTCTGCAACTTTTTAATATTTGAATACCAGTGGTCCATTCATATATTGGAGTCTATAAGTTTAATTTGAACATGCATGGAGCTCAATAAATGTTCACTTCTGCAACAAATTATGTTTTTGAAGGACTCATTGAAGGTGTTAATTACAACCTCAAAGCCGAAAAAGGAATGCATGAAAAGGATCATTAGAAGTCACTGATATTGTTCATGTTATTAATTTGTTTTCTAAAGATGTATAGCCTAAGAGCATTGTGTGGAGCTATAATAAAGAAAAGATCGCTTCTCGATCTGTTTCCAAAAAGCTGCAAAGGATTTTTTCCCCCTCCTGTTTGTTAAAACTTTTTTTTAAAGAGAAGAAACATGGTTTTGAGCATTATTGTACATGGAAAAATCCAAACCGCTCACTCTAAACATGTGGAACGTAAAAGGCTTTTGGTTTTGAAAAGTCTTGTCAAAAAGCTTGAAGCCTTTAATTTAGAGGATGATGGACATGATGTTACAAGAATAAATATTCAAAAACAGAAGAGAATTACTTTTGTGTCTGAAAATTAACAAGCTTCCAACAGCAAATTTGACAAATGATCAAACTTAACAGCACCCCGTTAGACATTGTTTTTAATTTGTGTTTTATTGTTTAGACACATAAAAACAACAACCGCCTGAGATTGGCTTTTCTTCAATGGATGGTTTATAGTTCTCGGTTATTTCTAGAGCCACCCCGCCAGCTAAATAAACAGTCCTTGCAGTGCATGTGCCTTCACACAGACCAGAGCTGCTGTCGGCTCCAAGCCTGCAAATCCACATCAAATATTCCGTTGCACCGGCCTCTGCTGTACGCTTGTGCTTTGACAGCTGTCTGCCAGGAATCTTAGAGATCATTTTTACTTACAAACCACACGGGGAAGTCTGGATATGTTTCAGAACACAGTCAAGGGGTCATCAGACAGAGCGATTGTGGGCATGACTCCCAGGCCTTTAAGCTGTCCAGGCTTTCACATGATGCAATGCTAACAGAATAATGTTCAAAGCAGGTCTGTTAAAGATAGTGTGAAAAAGACTGGAAGAGAAATGGAAAAAGGCAATTATCAGGTTTATATATTTAAATAGACACAAAGGTGTACTTTTCTTACATCTATATAATGTATAATAATATATAACATATTCTCTGTTGTGAAGCGAAACATGTTCTAAATCATTACAAATAAAAAATTTAAAAGATAATTTGGGGTATAACCTGCAAAATGTAAAGGTGTTTAAGTATATATGCCCCTTGTTTTTGTAAAACACCTTATCAAGAATGACACCTAATGTTTTGGTGTGCTTTGTTGGGATACACAGAAGTAGTGGAGAAAATCCACAAGTAAAGAAAAAAACTATTTACTGAACTTTGTTTCCAAGTTTGAAGATGTTTGCTTCCCATCCAGGAAGCTTTTTTAATTCAAAATGTCAGAAATAGCATTAAGTTCGAGGCTTTATAAAGTGGACCAAAAGCCTTTAACTCAATGCTATTTCTGACATTTTTAATGAAAAAAGATTTCTGGATGGGAAGCAAACATCTTGAAACGTGGAAACAAAGTCCAGTGGATTGTTTTTACTTTTTTGGAATGACTATGACCTGGATGACTAAGAATCTTCACCAGCATAGTGGAGTATATGACAAAGATAACCAGGCTGATGTAAAAAAAAAAGGCCTGAAAATAGATTTAGTAGCTCATTTAGATAACTTTGCAATGCCCCCCAACCCTTTTTTTTCTATACACACTAAATTTTATAGGATTTTTAAAACCACATTATATGCTTAAAATACATTCACACTTTAATTAGCATTGTTTTCTGTCTAACAGAAAGATTGGTGAGGACTGCCACATTTATTTCAAATTGCTACAGCGCAAAATAATGAGACAGAATATTCTAAGGTTAAAACACTTAAGATTACTTCACCCTCAAACAGGTTTAACGATGCCCAGATAATCTTATAGGAATGTCAGAAAATGGAAACCCACACAGGGATTTAACTTAAAGCAAAATCTCAAACATGTGAAGGAAATTATTAAATTACCAAAGTATATTGGACAAGATACAAAAATGGTAAAATTTTTCAGATACCCACAAAGTAGCACATTAATTTGTGCAAATAATTATGTACAGGTCAACAGGTTATGGAACTGTATTCCAGAAATGAACTTGGTGTGTATTGTGTGCATCAGTCCAAGAGCAAAAGCAAAGGGTCTAGTCAAGATTCTGGCTGAAGCTAGTAAGGGTGGACCTTAATGCCATTCAGGGAGGAAGAAGCTATTTCGTAAAACATAAAAAGATAATTTACTGCTTGTAATGTCATAAAGGGACCATCTGCCAGTCCGTCCAACCAATCAACCATCCACCCATCTTCTTCCTCTTATCTGGGGTCTAGTAGCAGCTTCAGTAGGGAGACCCAGAAGTCTCTTTTCCCAGCCACTTGGGCCAGTTCCTCCAGGGGAATCCTAAGGCGTTCCCAGGCCATCAGAGAAAAATAGTCCCTCTAGTGTGTCCTGGGTCTCCCTCTTGGTGTCTTCCAGTTGGGACGTGCCCAGAAAACCTCACCAGGTAGGCGTCCAGGAGGCATCTGACCTTATCAGATGCCTGAGCCACCTCAACTGGCTTTTCTTGACGTGGAGGAGCAGAGGCTCTGAGTCCTCCCTGGATTACTGAGCTCCTCACCCTATCTCAAAGGGAGAGCCCAGACACACAGAGAAAACTGATTTCGGTCACTGGTATCAGGGATCTCGCTCTCTCGGTCATGACCCAAAGCTCATGACCATAGATGAGGGTAGGAACGTAGATTGACCGGTATATCGAGAGCTTTTTGGCCTAGCTCTCTCTTCACCAAAACGGACCAGTTTCATAAAGGGCCATAAAGCTTAATTTTTGAAGAAAAGAAACATTTTGTGGCTTAAGGACAACAATGTAAATATTTTGAAATGATCATGACAAAGTTCTAATATTAGTCCCAAATAAGCATAGGGAGAGCTAAAAAGATGTTGGAAGGCAAAGCAGCCAACAAACCTGACTTAGAAATACCGGTTGTTTCAGGGGAAATGGGCCAAATCTCCTGTAAAACTATTGTGAGAAACTTGTAAGATATTCAAAACATTTAGCCCAAGTCATACAGTTTAACAAGGTAATTCTAGTAATAAACCCTATCAGTTCATCGTTAAAATGTTTTCACAGATCAAACATACTGTGGAGTCAGTTGACCTTAAAGTTTCTACACTGTATGGGTTTTATTTTTTACTGAAGGCTTCATCAGGTTGAAAAAGTTTCAAAACAAGGAAAAACACTTTCAATATCATTGCAAGTGCGTCCCTTCTTTGAAATCTCAAGTATGACATGAAGAAGCTTCAAGGGCTCCATCCTGTCAGGTTGCCATGGGAACCCCGCATCCTTCCTCCCTCTATTTTGTTTTCCCTCAGGGATTATTGTGCACCTCCAATTCCCTGTTGCACGGCAAAAGAAATAGGCCTATCCCTCCCCAACCTGTTAGATAATACCTGACCAGGACTCTGCATCAGTCAAAATGTGTGCTGTAGGAGAGGGAGAGACATTAATTTGAGCTAACCATAGCCTTCAAGCATGTGTTTGGAGGCTGAGAGGAAAGAAACACATCTTATTTAGATTAACGAGAGGCTGCACACTTGGCCGCAGAATGTTATGATCTTGCTGTTTGAGGAGTGGTTCTCTGTAGTAGATGAACAATATAATTTCACCAAGGTGGTGCAATCAGGTCGTTTATTATTGTAGCCATCTAAATTCACACACGTTTCATTTTGTAAATGCATGGGTAGCAAATGTAGGCAGCTGAAGATACATCTCAGAATAGTGGATGAAGGCCTCAAATAGATTTCACCATCTCTAACCCAGCAATTGTCAAGTAAAAACGGCTAACACTGTGTTTTTCTGGTTATTTTGCTTTTCTTCATAATTGTTGTGTAATCTATTCTTATTATTATAATATAAAAAAATCCAGCGGGAAAGTTCTTCTGCATGGAGTCTCTCTGTGTACTTTAGACCTCAGTTCACCTGCAGGAGGAGCTGTGGTTTGCTGCAGCCTCTCTGGAGCTGAAGAGAGAGATCCCTCTGTTTCTCCTTCAGTGGCATGAATAACATCCCCAGTGCTGGAGAGAGAGCATATCAGGAGGCAAATGACGAGGGGAGAGAGATAGCAGGCGGTGTGACAGATAAGAGTGTGGCAGAACTTGCCTCCCTGACAGTACAGTGGGCCGGAGAAAGAAGGAACAATTGGACCTGAGTGTCAGCCTGCAGCCTGCACCACAATCACTCACTCATAATCACAGAAACTGTCATTCCCCAGAGCCTGGCTGCAGCAGGACTTCAGAGACAGCTGACCTCAAAAAAGGTACAGTATGATCATTTCTAATGCTGAGGTTTCCTTATGTTTGACATGGTCAGTATATGTTTCATGGTGGAATAACAGAAGTTTTTTTTGTGTGTGCCTTTTTATCGAAAGATTGTGCCTTTTGTTTTGTTTTTGTTTTTCTTTTTGGGGAGGAGTTATATGTTTGCCCAACAGAGAAGAGTATATCTTGTGCTTGCAGGGATGATGGGAGAGCTGTCAGTGAAAGACAAGGAGCTTATACGAGGCAGCTGGGAGAGCTTGGGAATAAACAAAGTTCCTCATGGTGTCATCATGTTCTCAAGGTAATGTTCAATAATAATGTTAGGGAGAAGAAAAATCTCTGATGTTTCGCTGAGAAATCCTTCTGGTAGTCAGAAGCAAA